ATGATTTGGGATTTATAAGATGTGGATTCTTATGGTTTGAGATTCATAGAATGAGGATTTTCTATGGTTGGACTTGTATTATCACGAGTTATGTATTTTGAAGATTGGAAATAGAGGGTTTATGAGGATTTAAAACTTGTCTATTTCTGAGGATCTAGGAATAAAAGTTTTATGAGGATTAAGAACTTGTCTATTCTGAGGGACCGTAGAGAAACACCCTAGGTGATTGGGTTGTTTAGAGATGACCTAAAGATTGGTCATTGATGAGATGATATTCTGGGATAGTGGAGTGTCAGGATGTTTAGAGATGACCTGAGGGTTGGTCATTGATGAGATGATATTCCGGGATAGTGGAGTGTCATGTCAGAGTTAACCTGAGGATTGGTCATGGATGGGGTGATATTCTGAGTATTGGGATATCAGGTTGAGACCAAATGAGGTAGTTCTAGTCAGAGATGCTATAGGCTTTAAAAATTGATTTCTCTAGGGAATGAGGATTTTCCTGAATAACTCATTTGGAGATGAGGATTTCTCCAGTAAGGATGAGGATTTCCCTGTATGCTACTGAGGGATGAGGATATCCCCTAGTAATACTAAGAGAGGAGTATTTTTGTCGAGGGGATGAGGATTTCCCTATGGGTGTTACTTGGGGATGAGGATTTCCTTTAGTAATACTACGAGATGAGTACTTCTCTGGAGGGGATGAGGATTTCCCATGTATACTGCTAGTTCGACGGACTGTGTGTTCTAAGAGTGTCAGTGGTATGGTGCACCGATAGCTCAAAGGACGTATTCCTGAGAGTGTGAGTGGTTTGGTTATGTGTTATGAGTTATGAGTTGAGAGTAATCAATGTCTGAAACGTGGCTATGTGCAAGAACTAGACGTAGACCTCAGGGATCGGGAGTTGATCTCATGTGGTGCTGGCCGAGTTGGTCAAGAGTGTTAACTGTAGTGTGACGGTGTTGTGTGATTCGAGGGTGATCTCGAGTGGTGCTGGCCGGGTGGGTCAGATGGTTGAGACTGTAGTGAACGGTAATGCAAGATTTGAGGATGAATCCTGGTTAGTAGGGGAGAATTGTAACGCCAGTGAACCAAAAGTGTGATTTTTGGGCAGTGCGTCAATCGATGCAACATTGAATTGCATCGGTTGGTTCGATTTTGATTTGTCGGTTCGATCGGTTTGATTTTAAATCGTTTGGTTAATGCTTTTTGGGTTGGGGAAACCCTAGGGCTCGCTATATAAACGAGCAGCCTCCTTCTTTAGGCAAAAAATCAGAGTGGAGAGAGAGGATTTTCGTAGGTTGTGAGAGAGAAGATGAGATTGTTGATTGAGGCTTTGGACGCAGTTCTGTCCAGTTTTAGAAAAGGAGAGTAATGGCCAGTAAGAACAGATCGGATCGGAGGAAAACTTTAAGGTTAAATTCTCCACTCTCTGATCTTCATATAGGAGAAAACGGTTTGTCGATCGGATGTTTATTCTAGGAGTTATCATTGTTTTACTGAGAGAGATTTCTGCAGTTTCGAGTCTGCTATCAGTCCACTTCGAGGGAGGATTTCTGTCGAACCAAAAGTACTCAGAGGACGATCCACATATCGTTTGATATCTCTCTCTGTCTAGTTCTCAGATCAGGTTTCCGATGATTCTGAGGTAATCTCCGCTCTTTGTGTGCTTTCGAAGTCAGCATGTCGTTCCTGTTTTCGGAAACCCTAATTCGGTTTAGGTGGTTTTTGGAGAAAGGATCAAGGTTTTATTGGTTCGTGAGGAAGGAAAGATAAAGCAGAGACTGTAGGTGAGATAGAGGTCTCTCTTCATAGTTGTCCTTGTCTAGTATCGATCCATAATCG